CTGAATGGAGACTGGTTTTCTGTACTGAGAGAATGTTTATCATTTTGTCTTATGATTCGAAGGGAAGTTCAGGAAATGTCTTCTCTGGTCTGCTTTCTTAGTCTCTTGTTGACAACCTCAGATAATGGAATAGAAGGTACACTTATAAAAAATTTTAGACACCATAAAATTGTGAAAAGCTGCAGAATAAGATTAGAAATAAAATAACTTTGGTAAAATTCAATATCCTTTTTGTGCTGTTAAGGACAGAGGGAACAAAAGAGAAAGGACTTGAAGGTTACACTGGACCAAGAGGCAAACAGGAGTGGTATGTGTTGTAAAAAATTGCCAAATAGATTTATGAATGCATTATACATAAAATTTATCAGGGCACAACTCAAATGAATTTTGCATTTTCAACACAAGCTGACACTTGCCTGGAGGAGAGCAACAAGAATGACCACAGGTCTAGAAAAGATTGAGCAAACTAAGGTCCTCCAGTCTTCAATAGAAGACTGATTGTGTACATGGTAATAAGTACTCAAAAGAAAAAAGGTGGATAATCTGTTTTCTGCCTCTGAGGCATACGGGAAATAAAGTAATGGGCTTCATCTCCTCCTGTCACGATCCTAGTAAGTCACAAGGAAGTACTTTGTAGCAGTCAAGAAAGCCTAGCCTTGTAATAAATTGCCAGGGGAAATTGTGGATTCTCTAGTAGCAGACATCTGTAAGCATAAATTCAACAAACGACTGCTGTAGATATAATTGATGCTTCCAAGGAGCATACAGAGGAGTAGGTGATACAGAGTCATTTCAGCCCTACTTTTCTACAGTTCTGTGTAATGGGTGCCATAAATAAAATTAAGGGAAAAGGCCAGAGTTTTAAGTAAGCAGTCTCCATTTGTCCTGTTGTCATAAAATCTTTCAAGTTAGATAGGTACCTGAATTATTAAGGAACAAAACAAAGAACAAAAGAAACTCACAGCAATTAGAAAAAAGCTTAGGAAAAAAAAAAAAGATAAAAAAGTCTTTTTGCTGCAGTCATAATTAGTCATGGCAACTGTTTATTCACGAGTTGCTGCCTTTATTCCAAAGGCCAACATGAAGGCTGCCTTCATTTTAACAAGTAGACTATACAAGATAATGTAATTACCAAGTGGTCTTCAATACCAGGAGCTACATGGGGAGCGTACAGGGACTCGTGAAAATTTGCAAAGTCTCAGAGTATCTACCAAGTAAGAATTGCTGAAAATGGACACAGTCTCACAAGGTCCCTTTCAAAGAGGGTTGTGGAGCAGGGAACACTTTCAGTGAATGACAGGTGGCTCAGGCTGAAGGACAGGAGGTCACTGCATCTGCTGGAAACCTTTAGTACAAGGCTGTCTGGAGGCAGATATACCTTTTCCAGAAGGCCAGCCAGCTGTGTCTCCACTCAGAGGGCTGGAAATCCACAGTTCTAGCTGGTACTTTTGTGTGGTTGAAGAATGGGATATCTGCATCAATAAAAATGCTGGGTTATTTTTGGGTTGGGTTTTGGTTTTGTTTTGTTTTGTTTTCATTTTGCCCTTGAGCATGTTAATTCACAACAGAACTGTTGATCCAAATAGCCAATCACAACAAAATTTGACATGGTATGGAGGATACAAGATGCCAACACTAGGTTTGTTAAACTTATGGGCTGGTAGCTTGAGGCAGCCCCCCACGCCTTGTCCAAGCACCACCGGCATCTTTGTGCCCAAATATGAATTCAAGAAGGAGAAACAGTGTGGGGGGAGAGAGAGGACAGAGCAGTGGGGACTGATTTTAGGGTTTGTAAGAACTATGCCAGGATCTGTGTGGAATGCAGAGAAAGTGGGAACACACTTGCTTGAAGGTCACACTGGATCAAAAAGCAAAGAGGAGTGGTATTGCGTTACAAAGAAATGGTAATGAATTAAAGATTATAAAAGATCATAAAAATCATAAAGATTTATGAATGCATTATTTATAAGATTTGCCAGGCCACAACTGGAACGCATGTCAGAAGGAATTCTGGACTAGGATGCTGGAGAGATAAGGGGAGGTGTGGTGAAGAGGTGTGCTGTAGCTGCAGGTGTCGTGAAGAGGGTAAATGAGAGAGAGAGAGCTCAGATTATTGCAGTAGCAGTCTCTGAAAGGCATGGGCTAGGTTACTGAGGCAATTCTCATTTGTTGGCACCCTCATCCTGAGAGTTCTGTGCCAATGGTGAGCTGCACAGAGAAGGGAAATTTTTCTACCTGCGGTATTATGAGTCTGTAATAAAAAACCAGCTCATACTCCAAGTTCAAAACAAATCAGTTAAAGTCATGAGTTTCAAGTGTGGTTAGCAGATGTTATCATTTATGGTTCTTGCCGTGTCTGAGAAGGAGCCCTGTGAGCCAGTCTCACTTTACGACTTAAAAGGGAGGATGTTCAACAAGGCCAAGTGCAGGGTCCTGCACTTTGGCCACAACAACCCCTGCAGCGCTACAGGCTGGGCACAGAGTGGCTGGAGAGCAGTCAGGTGGAAAGAGATCTAGGGGTGCCAATTGACAGGAGGCTGAACATGAGCCAGCAGTGTGCCCAGGTGGCCAAGAAGGCCAATGGCATCCTGGCCTGCATCAGGAACAGTGTGGCCAGCAGGAGCAGGGAAGTGATCCTTCCCCTGTACTCTGCGTTGGTGAGGCCGCACCTTGAGTATTGTGTTCAGCTCTGGGCCCCTCAGTTCAGGAAGGACATTGAGGTGCTGGAGCAGGTCCAGAGAAGAGCAACCAGGTTGGGGAAGGGACCTGAGCACAAGTGCTATGAGGAGAGGCTGAGGGAGCTGGGGTTGTTTAGGCTGGAGAAGAGGAGGCTCAGGGGAGACCTCATCACTCTCTACAACTCCCTGATAGTAGCTTGTAGCCAGGTGGGGGTTGGTCTCTTCTCCCAGGCAATTAGCAATAGGACAAGGGAGGGCACAGGCTTAAGCTCTGTTGGGGAGGTTTAGGTTGGATATTAGAAAGAAGTTCTAATTGGAATTGGCATTGGAATGGTCTGCCCAGAGAGGTGGTGGATTCACCATCCCTGGAGGTTATTAAGATGAGATTGGATGTGGCATTGAGTGCCATGATCTAGTAATCCCAGTGGGGTTGGATCAAGGGTTGTACTTGATGATCTCGGAGGTCTCTTCCAACCCACTTAATTCTATGATTCTATGATAAAAGCTGAACAGCTTCTCACAAACCTTTTCCCAAATTTACCTCCCACAAAACTGATTTTCTGGGAAGACATGAAAATTTTGATGTTTTCAACCTCACACCATAAAATGTTTTTAAGATCATGGGCATCTGTGAAAAAGGACCTGCTAAAAGACTTCAGACTTGACTGGAAAAATTCTCTGCACATATTTGGTCAAAGATTTTTTTATAGGAATGAATGGGAAGTATCTGCTTTCCACCACCTGATTGTGGAATGTCTGATCTTTCTCACTCCTACAGAGGCAGCTAAACTGACTTGCAGCATATGAACACAGATCATTTCAGACTTCTTTTTTCTTTCCATTGCAGATTGATGGCTTTTGCTGCACTCCCTTTGTGCCACTGTTACCTCTTCATGTCAAATACATTACTGCTGTGTTGTGGAAGTGTCTTTAAAGTTCTGTCTTCACTGGCAAATGTGGATATATTTTTTATCCAGGGAGGACATGATTGTGTGCAGTCATGCAGACGTGTCTGCATGAAATGATGTAGCAGTGTGCAAGCAATCAGTTTCCATATTGTTACCTGGTTTTACCTTGGATAACTGATTGGTTATGTCACTGTAGAAAACATAGCTGGAACAAGCACTGTGAAGAAGGTAGCTGAGAGGCTTTGGCTGATCTCCAGAAGTCATACCATGACAAATACTGTGACTTCAGGATTTGACAGAAAGTCAACAAAAAAACTTTTATTACATTATGAGAAACACACACATAAAAAGCCCACACTCTCACTAAAACAAGGACAGAGCAATGTATACTTCTTTACTGTAATTTAATCACTGAAAATTCATACAAACTAAAATTCCAATGAGATAGACAGTGAAGAGTTCATCTTAGGTGCTAACTCAAGTGCACCCTATAGCTGTGTTGTCTAAGTGAATATTTAACCACTTGTCATTTGCTGCATAACTATGCACACGGATTTTTTTTCCTTTTATAGTATAGAAATACTACTAAAATGTAGACCATGAGACTTTCAAATAAGATAATGTGACCCTTCCCTTAAGCATCTCTCCTCTAAGACTTCAGAGGTTTGTATGAATGTTTTATCAACAAGAAATACAGAATTTTTTTCACTAGTTTATCCTTTTTTTCTCTGTCAGTGTATTATATGTTGTTTTATTTCTGTTCATAGCAGTGTGAGTATCAGCCATATGTTCTAGAAATTTTCCCTTACATTAGTGCAAGAAAAGAATTCAGCTGTGAGTGAATTCATGTGTACTGCATGTGCTTTGTCCAGACAGATGGATTTTTGAGACTCTGCGATTGGGTGGTTTTAAAACTCTTGAGAAGTCTGTGCCAAGGGACCCCAAGTATTTTGTAGTTGTCCCAAAATGTATAGTGCATACTTTCTACTCAAATATGTTTGTTTAATAGTTTAATAGTTGTGTGACCATTTTCTTATTTCCCAGAAAGTTATAATGTGAAGAAACTACTTTTCTCTGAGCTAGACTTTGTTATCTTAACAACTATTAGATTGCTTCCTAGAAGCTGGTTACATTTAAAATTCAACAATACATTCTGAGATGATTTTGTTCCTTAATGGACATGATGCTATCTTCATCTTCCCAAATTTTAGTTTCCTATTTAGATTACAGTATGCATCCATGGATCCTACACTGAGCAAGTTTACAGAAAAAAAGCATCTGAAAATTAGTTAAGTAACCCTGTGTCACACATATATCAAATCTGCTGCTAAAGATTATTAGAAAGATGTCAACCTGTGCTTGACCATAACATCTTATTCTCACTTAAATGTTTTGTCTTTCTCTTTTTTTTCAGTACCTGCATGCAAATGGGATTGTGCATCGGGACTTGAAGCCAGAAAATCTACTCTATGCAACACCAGCTCCAGATGCACCACTAAAAATTGGTAAGCAGCATTAAATATACACTTCTCTAATTCTTTTGTGTCAGTAATATGTGCTAGCTGATGTTTGGAGTACATGCATCTCACAATCTCTTTATTTCAAACTAATGTTTGTACTCAAATGAACAGCATGTTACTTCTTCAGCAGCACAACTGTGCATGGTGGTTTTTACACCAATAAAAAACTAGCTGCTTACAGAATTTATAGGCAAAATCATGTAGAAAATGCCAGTGAATAAAGTAGTATTTATAAAAGTAAACACTATTTCTTGTTAGACAAATAATAATGCATAAACAATAGCCATTTAGAGACAAGTGACCTATTTTTATGCTGATATTTAAGTCAAAACATTTCCTTTCATATTCAGTTTAACAAAGCATAAATAATTTTATTTTTAGTTTTTTAAGCCAGAGATGATTGTCATCATCCCTACTGGAATTTAAATAAAATCAGTTTATTCTCAGTGAAAATTAAGAGTTGTGAAGACTTAAATCTATATGAATGAGTCACACAAGTACAACATGTGGTGTCATGCTGTTTGAGTAGTAATTCAGGGGGGAAACGCTGCAGAAAGGATGCTCAATACTTCTTCTGTCACAATTTTCATGCTCCCAGGCTTCTATCAAAATACTGCTGGGATTTTGTCCTGCAGGGTCTGCATACTCTGACCCTTATCCAAGACATCACAGATGCATAATTTTTTAACTCACAATTGTTCTGATAATTTTATTGGATTTCTCACAGAGTGGAAACTGAATATATACCTAAAATGCATTTCTGGATCTCTGCTTGTATGCCCTTAGGTGTCCCACCGTACTGGCTTTGGGCAGTCTTCAGAATAAAATACAAGCTATGTTTCTGTCACAGAAAAGACAGGAATGCTCATTGTACAGCAAATTTAGCTTCTGGATTGCCATCTGAGCATATTCTTTAAATCAGTGTTTATCTCTGTAAATGACAGTACTGTTCACTTAATGCATAAATGTTCATTTAATTGCATATACAATGGAAAAAACATCCCACCTTATTTTACAAGGAAGTAAGAACATTAGTATTCCTAATTATCTTAACAGCTGACTTTGGACTTTCTAAGATTGTGGAAGATCAGGTGACCATGAAGACAGTTTGTGGAACTCCGGGGTACTGTGGTATGTTGTTTCATTATTTACATTTGTTTTTATAACAGTAGAGGCAAAGGAAAGAGGACACTGGAGAAGACCATAAGATCACTCTGTTACCTCATAGCATAGCTGATTATGCAATTCAGGTGATGCATTCATTTACCTTGTATGTCATTCTCTGCCAAGCACACATGGGTGCCAGTCACGCTTTAGAGCAGCATCTAATTCCAGTCCACTTAGTTTCATAATACTGTACTTCTGATTTTCTTCTCTTGAGAGAGTTATATTACAAATGCCTTACACCAATAGTTAGTATTTAGCCCTTTTTATGCCTGTCTTAGTATATGATAAAAATAGGATGTAAGGCTTATTCTCACAGAAGAGCCCTCAGAGTCAGGATGACTTGGTGGGGACGGTTGAGGCTGAATATCTCTGTGGAGAAGAGAAGAAAGGAGCTTTGTGCCTCTAGTCATGGTTTACAATCCACTCGTGCAGAATTCCTGGTGCCCAGAACATATTCAAGCATTACTTTCCAGAACTGGAGGAAAGCCAGGAGGAATACTGGTGAAACGCCAAATTAAACTATGAATAATTGACAGTCCCAGGCTGCCAACTCCCACATCCTGCTCACCCAGCTATCAGCAGCTTTTCCAGAAAGGACATTGCAACAAAAACACATACTGGAGTCTGGATACTCTGGCATCAAAACCTGTCAGTCTACAGTCCCTGGAATGTGCAGATTGATGCAGAGGACCGAAAGCAAAAAGATGATCATGAAAAACTTGGTTTACTGCAACACCGTGCTTTCAGTGAACTTAACAAGAGGAGCGTAAGTGATTTCTGGCAGTAGCACATAAAATTAAGCCAGTGCAGAGCAGTGATTCATGATCAGTCTGTTACAGGAAACATCTAAACTCACAGCAATGTGTCAGACAAATCCATTCACCAAGAGCAAAATTCTGGAAATAGAAAAAAAATATTAAAAGCCATACTCTTCGTGGCTGTGCAAGAGTAATGCAGGAAGGGGAAGAAATTGCATACGTGCTGCAGCACTGGTGCACATAGGTACAACAAATCCACTGTGCTGAAGAAACATGACAGCTATCCCACGTGCATCATAGATCTGGTGGGACCAGGGTTTCAAGGTATTTCTGTCAGGCTTCTTGGGCAGACATTCACTCCTCTTCACCATTGCAGAGCTGGACTTCCCCAAAACTGCCTGGCCTTTCTGTCTGCTCCTCAATGCAGCAAAAGAAATTGCCTGAAATGGTCTTTCCTTCCAATTAAAACAGAATATCAAAAATAAAGCCTAAGTAAAGTGCCAAGTAAATGGAATCATTGAATTATTAAGGTTGGAAAACACTTCCAAGACCTTCAAGCCTAGCCTCTGACTGAGTGCCACTATGTCCACTAAACCATAGCACTAAGTGCCATCTCCAGTCATTTCATGAAGCCTTCCAGGGATGGTGACTCCACTATCTCCTTAGTCAGCCCACTTCAATGCTTAACCACCCAATGAGAAAATTCTTCCTAATCATTACCCTGAACCTCCCCTGGCACCACTTTGAGGCCATTTCGTCTTGTTCTAGCTCTTGTTCCCTGGGAGAAGAGACCAACTTCCACTTTTTTACAACCTCTTCTCAGGTAGTTGAGAGAGTGATAAAGTGTCCCATGAGCTTCCTCTTCTGCAAAATGAATACCCCCACCTCCCTCAACCATTCCTCATCAAACTTGTGCTCCAGATGCTTCACCAGCTCTGTTGTCCTTCTCTGGACTTGCTCCAGCACCTCAATGGCTTTCTTGTAGTGAGGGGCACAGAACAGGATTCAAGATGTGGTCTCACCAGTGCCCAGTACGGTCACTTCCCTGGTCCTGCTGCCCACACTATTGCTGATGCAAGCCAGAATGCCACTGGCCTTCTTGCCCACCTGGGCACTGCTGGCTCGCATTCAGCAGCTGTTGACCAGCACATGTAGGTCCTTGTCCACCAGGCAGCTTTCCAGCCACTCTTCCCTCAGCCTGCAGTGCTGCTGGGGGTTGTTGAGACCCAAAGACAGGACCTGGCACTTGATCTTTTTGAAGCTCATAAAATTGGCCTTGTGCTATGAATTCAGCCTGTCCCGATCCCTCTGTAGACCTTTCCTAATCCTCACCCAACTTGGTGCTTTCTGCAAACTAAGTGGATGTGCACTCAACTCCCTTGTCCAGATCATGACATAAAACACGATATATCAAGATATAAAACAGGACTGGCCCCAAAATTGAGCCTTGGGGCACTACTGACCAGCCACTCCACATACCACAGCCAGTTTTTGGTGCGTCGTCAAATTTCGAGCACCCACTAAAAGCCGCTCTATCACCCTCCCTCTGCAACTGGACAGAGAGAGAAAAAAAAAAACAGCTAAGAATTCTTAAGTAGGGTAAGAGCTAAAGAGTGAGAAATAAAACAGTCTTAAAAACACCTTCCCCCCCCGCATCCCTTATTTCTTCCATGCTTTCCCTCCTTGCCCCCAGCAATACAGGGAGATGGGGAAGGAGGGTTGTAGTCAGTTGTTTCCCATGGGGTGCAATCGGGTCTGCACTGATGGGCTGCAAGGGGACAACTTGCTTCACCATGGTTTTCACTAGGAGGCTACAAGGGGCCCACAGATCTGAATCCTTCCTCTGCTTCTGTGGATTGTCTTCTGATGGGAGACAGTCCTTGGTGGACCTCTCAAAAGTGAGTCCATCCCTCGGACAGCAGTTTTTCCCAAACTACTGTCCCGTGGGTCACTCCTCCATGGGGTGCAGTCCTTCACAAATGAGTTGTTCCAATGTGGGTCCCCCACAGGGCCACGAAGCCTACCTGGGAAAAACCTGCCCCAGCATGGGTTTCCCTCTTCACAGGCCACAGGTCTCCACAAGGACCCCACTCCACCTTGGGCCTCCATGGGCTGTAGGGGTTTCTACACCCTAATGGTCTTCTACAGGCTGCAGGGGCCTCAGCTCTGAGTCCTTCTGCTGCTCGCAGGGGAGGCAGGGGAGCGAGAGGGTCTCCTCCCCCTCCTGCTGCACTGACCTTTTTGTCTGTGTTGTTATGCCATGTTCTCACTCCATTCCTTCTGGGCTGGAATTGCTTCTGCACAACACTCCTCTGTTCTTAAATGTGTTATCATAGAGGCATTACCTGCTTGCTAGTTGGCTTGTCCTTGGCCAGCAGCAGGAAGTCCATCCTGGAGCCAGCTGTCATTGACTCCATATGAGCAGAGGAAGCTTCTAGCAGCTTTCAACAGAAGCCACCCTTGTAGCCCCCCCACTACCGACACCCAGCTACGTAAACCCACGATACCCAGCAAGCAGTGCACCCATCCAAGCCATGAACAGCCAATTTCTCCAGAAGATTGCTGTGACAGTCAGTCTTGAAGACTTTACTGAAGTTCAGATTTACAGAAGAGACACTGTTTCTCCTAATCCACCTGCCAGGTCACTGGTTATAAGAGAATATCAGGTTGGTCAAGCAGGACCTGCCTTTCCTAAACCCATGCTGGCTGGGCCTGATCCCCTGATTGTTCTGTTTTGGTCCCCTGGTGTGATCACTCTCAAGACAATCTCTTCCATGACCTTTCCCAGCATCAAAATCAGGCTGACAGGCCTGTAGTTCCTTGGATCCTCCTTCCAGCCCTTCTAGTAGGCGGAAATCCACTGGCTAGCCTCCAGTCATCTGGGAACCTCCACAGTTATCCAGAGCTGATGATAAATGATGGAGAGTGGCTTGGTGAGTTCCTCTGACAGCACTTTTAGTACCCTTGGATGAATCCATTGACTTGTGAGCATCTAACTATCTCCTCCTGCATCTGTTCTGCTCCCCAGCCCTGTCAGCCAGCTCAGAGGGCTGGTTGCCTTGAGGACAATAGTCTTTCTATTAAGTCTGAAGCAAAGAGGGTATGAAGTATCTTAGTCTTTCTCTCATCCTTGGTTACAGTGTTTTCCTCTTCATCCCAAAGGAGAGATTTTCATTGGCCCTCTTTTTGTTGTTGATGTATTTATAAAAGCACTAAGTAAAGCACTGAAGCAAAAGTACCACCTTCTTACTCACACTGTAGCTCCAATGTTGCTGTAGCTTTCAGTGGTTCTTTTCACAAATCTAAAATACAGTTTGAAACCAAAGTCCACTTTACATGTTATTCTGGCTCTGCTTGGACATAACTTCTTCTGTTTTATATTTAGTGAAGGGAATCATTTGCCTAATTGAGGGCTTAAAGGAGCCCATGTCTCTTTTTAAGTGACATTAGTGTTCATGGACTTTAATTGACTTTGTGACTGTTAACGTCTTCATTCAGCTTTCACCTTACTGACAAGTGTTTTGTCATCTGCAGCACCAGAGATACTGCGGGGATGTGCCTATGGCCCTGAGGTGGACATGTGGTCCCTGGGAATTATCACCTACATCCTGTAAGTTGCTATAGAGCAGTTAATTTGTTAACACCCTCAAGATTTTATGACATTATGAGCTGTGCCATTGAAAAAGACAAGTACTTTAATTACGATATTCCTAATCTTACTGAAGTAAATTAAATCCTAGAGGAGCATGGAAAAAACACTCAGGTTATATATTTGATAGATATAGTACTACTTCCTTAACAACAGGAAGATCTGCACAGAACCATGCTCTTAAAGTAAATGAGTAGCGGTGAAGCTGCTGAAAGCAAAAATACAGGCATGCAAGTGTCAGAAGTCATCGGGGCTTCTTATTCACAAAAACTGTTAGAGACGCTAAGTTGCTTCTTGACTACAGATAGGACAAGAAAAAGTTAGGGCGCTTGCAGTAGTTTCACAGTGCCTGTGAATGTTCTCAAATGCAGCTGCCCCATCTGTGTCAGCCACAGACACTGTCAAAGCTTCAATTGCAGCATCAGTGTTGTTGTCCCACAGCATCTCAGCCAGGAGGCAGGGAACAGCCCTGGACTCTCTGTCTGCAGATCAGTCTGATGGGTTAATGTCGAAGTGTTGCTTTTCTTACAAGATAACAAAAGACCCTGTTGAAAAAGGGTTATGAGCAATGCTGGCCATACAGACTTTAAACAGTTGAAGTTGCAACTATAGACCAAAATTTTCAAACAGTTATGTCTAAAGGTAGGCATTTGCATCTACATCTTAGTATGGCTAGTCATGATACAATTGGTGAGCACTGGAATTACTTTATTGTATTATTGAAACTTTCAAAGGAAGATCATTGAGGAGGGAAAATTGTATACAATATATTGATGCTTTCCTTTATGGGAGAATAAATAACTTAATTAGTCCCTTGACAATGACAATGCTAAGATGGCTTGTGTTGCTATATACAGTACTTGCAGGATGCCTTTTAGGAGAAGAAAATTAGATTTTACATATGTGCATTAAAGATATGGAGGATTTTATACATCTGGGTCATTATGTTTCCCTTATTAGGATTCATTAACTGTGTCCAGGAAGTACAGTGTGTAATAATAGAATTGTTTCCTTTCTGTCTTTTGCAAAGAAATAATTGCATTCTCTAGGATTTATACTAAAAGTTCATGTAAGGATATGTAAACACTCTGGTGGAAATATCAGAAAACATCTTTTCTTCTGTATATAAGCTTTGTGTATTTGTAAATAATAGGCTACAAAATTTCCATTTGTCATTTTTTTATCTTCTCCATTTTAAATGTGATCCTTTGTCTCAGGGTCTGGTTTAAGATCCAGACCTTGTGTAGAAGATCACGTAGCAGAAATTGCCTGCAAGGTGCTCACTTCTTGTCATTTCTGTGGTTTCCACAGATAGCAGAGAGATGTGAATGTTGTCAGCAAGTCTGTCCCTAAGATTGGAGAAATTAGTTTTGTTGACCCTTAAAAGCCACTTAAAGCCACTTAAATTAAACTATGGTCTCTTCTAGTTATTCAGCATTAAGGAAGTTGTTGTACTTGAAACTGAGCTCCTTTCTTAAGCAGAACTTGGTTTCAAGTTCCAAGCAAGAACAGAAATCAAATTGCTGTTTGCATATATGGACGGGTATTTGCTATATGCAACCTTTGAAAACCTTCCAGCTGCTCAGGAGATGCTCCCAAAACACATTAAACCTCTGCACTGGTGTAAAAACAAGCGTGTGAGTTGCTGCTCTGAGTGGAACACTACGAGAATGGATACTCTTCCACTTTTTCCTCCTTATGACCCTTCCTTCTCCCAACTTGAAATTCAATGTGATCTGCAGGAACAAGCCAGGCAAAAATCCACTTGGCTATATTTTCCTTTTAGCTTTAACAGTATTCCACATTTAAAGCTCTTCTATTGTATGTAAAGCTCTGTGGATCAGTACGGTCTGGTACATGTATAATAACTAATTCGTTAATCCTGCAGCCTAAAGGACAGTGTTGTGTGTCTCAGTCTTATAGTTTAGTAGAAGGAATGCACTTCAGTACAGTCAAAAAAATACCTTGCTGTATGTGTCTCCAAAGTGGAATGGATGTAAGAGTGACAACCATGTTACAAAAGATCTGCATAAAACTTCTCATTAATCTTCTCATTAATCAAGGTGGACTTAGTATTTGATTAAGAAAAACTTTGACACATATTTTTTTCCTGAGGTAGATTATATTAAGATCTATTGATGAGAGCTGTCATAATTCCAGGGAAGCCACATGTTACAGTTTTAAAAGTCAAGAAGAACAGTCCTTGTGTATTCTTAGAGCAGGTTAGAAATCCTTCAGTATGTTTGAGGTGCAGATAGAGGTCAACAAATACAGAAGATTTGCCTATAGTCAAAATTGCATGGCTTTAGTTAAAGGTGTTTTTTCACTAACTTAAAAGGAGATAAAACACCATCTGGTAAATTTTTTAATTGTTTTTTTGTAGCTGTTTACATTGTTTTTTCTCTATTTGTATGTAATTGATTTAAAATGTCATCATAATAAAATGATACTTCAAACTAAAATTAAATCAAGAGCAGCCACATTGAGTCTTACCCTGCTTTAATTAATCTAATTTGAAATCACATCTCTAGTTTTATTCGTCTAATTTGGTATATAGCAAAAAAAAAAAATCTGTCTACTGAAATAGATTTTTATTTTAAATAGAATCATAGCTATAGAAATTGCTAAAAAGACAAAAGGTGATAGTAAGTTACAGTGAAAGTAGATAAGATTTAGGAGATTTTCCATGCAGTCAGATCAAGTCTTAAATGTAGTCTTACTGTGTGTCACCTGGTATCCAAAATCCAGTTTAGGCTGACCCAACAACCCTTTTCAGCAAAGGTGTTCTGTGGGGATGGAAGTCCATTGATGGTGGTGGGACAGGAGGCAAAGAAGAAGGGAACAGCTGGAGTACTGTGGCCAGGTCCCGCCTACTGAAGCACACAGTATTTGGAGGCTGGATCCTGGTGTTTTAATCCATCTCTGCCAGACCTGGAAATTAATAATGTACCCAGAATGTGCTTACAATGGAGTGTTTCTCCTCTTCAGCAGAGGAATGTGATGCAACTGTTCCACCCACAGCTATGCACCACTCCCAAAGCCACACTTCTTCCTTGATTCTTCCTTGAGCATCAGTCTCCTTTTTCAAGACAGTAAACACATTGATTGGGTTTAGAAATATAAAAACATTATAAAGTTATAATATAAAGTTGTATTTTCTAGACTTGTTACTGTCTTGATCATTTTATCTGCTGTTATTTTCCTGTCATCATCTCATTGCTTGTCGTTGCTTGTTGCATTTTCTGGAGACAGAGTAGCAGATATATTTTCTGCTTTGCTCAGATCACATACTGGTTGAATAGGAAATTCACTTAAAAATATCTGATTATGTGTGCAAGCGTGATTAAAGTGAAATGAAGCAATAAAAGAAAACATTGTATAAGTGGAAACCACTTCTATGAGTTTGCTTTTCCTGAGGCCAGCAATGTGGATCTGTGCTGGGATCTGTATTACTCAATATATTAATAAATGCAGTCGTTAGTGAGATCACAAAATTTCTTGTTTGTATGTAGGTTATCTAAGTATAGATGTGGGGTGATTAATAAAACCTGACAGAGGTTTTACCATTTTGTGGATGATAGGATTAAAAAATGTATAGAGGTGAACATAATCAAAATCAGTCCTAACTGGACATATAAAACCTTCTAACTTCAGAGATAAAATGGGGTTCTTCAGATAATTCCCATTTCTCTGTCAAGAGTTACAGGAATTCTGATAAGTGCTCTGTGATCATGTTAACTCTGTGCTTGTAAACAATCTAAAAAAGTAAGGTCAGAAAGTTCTAGCAAAGAAACTTAAGATTAAAATAGGAAATATCATTACACTAATTTGTAACTTAGTCATGTGCCCGTTGGCACCCACTTCAAAAACACACACAGCTGGAGAAGCCTCACAGAGACAGCAGTGATGAACAACAGTTTCAGACTGAGGAATAACTAGGTAGTTTGAGGGACTTCAGCCAGAGACCAGCAGAGCAAAGGGCTGCTAGAAAATATTTCTTAGCATGTAGAAGGTATACAGATATCAACTGGTGCATGGCTACTCTTACAATAAGTCCCTGTACTAATAGTTCCAATCAAAGACATGTGAAAATGGAAAATTTAGAATTTGGCCAGACTTTCACAGTGTTAATGAATACTTATGACCACATTTTTCTCTGCTCTTTCTTCTGTTAGGAGTTCTTGAGTACAGCCAGGTCTGGTTTTCCAAAGGGGTCTCTACAAAATACAATGCAGGGAAAAATAATACCATGAACTGTTCCTAACAACCCAAAGACTAATTAATCTTTGATAAATTTATTTCTTTTTTATCCTTGCAGACTTTGTGGCTTTGAACCATTTTATGATGAAAGGGGAGATCAATACATGTTTAAGAGAATCCTGAACTGTGAATATGACTTTGTGTCCCCCTGGTGGGATGATGTGTCTCTGAATGCCAAGGATTTAGTAAGTAAAGCAAAAATCAGACCAGACTATTTAGTATCACTTCCACTGAGTCAATTTTTGGGGTGGGGGAAGAATAATTGGTTAATAATTGTTCATACAGCCTCTTACTTTTCTTCTTGTCTTTGAGATATTAGGGTGCAGTCAAATATCCATGTTAGTCCAGCACTGTAATTTTGCACTCAGGCCCATGGATGTTTAGGTCCTTCTCTGAATAAGCACAGATTGTTGGCAGCTGTCACAGTGTTCATGTATGCCCACCTTTTTTCTAGCTCTGAAGTGTTTCATCATTCCTCTTTTCTGGGTAACCACCTTCAGGGGAAAGTAGAAACAAACTCTTTATTTTTTATCAATTTTTAAGCCTGAACTTTAGGGAAAAAATACTAAAAGGAATGAAACTTTTCCCCCCCTGCCTTTTCTGACAGACTTTTTCTGTCCATTTAAGCTTTTTCTCAGTACATGAGGGAAGACTGATTACTTTTAAATAGGGTCCATTAGCAAAATGTAAGAACTGGCATGCTAGCTGCACTGTAGTCTTTCATTAGTGGATAAAGTAATTAGGACTCAGGAGATACTGATCTGCAGAGATAGGAATGCTTGAGTCTGACTTTTAGTCAATAATAGCTTGCATAATTCAGTTATTTCATTAACACTGAAAACATAAATGGTCTGTTCCATGTTACTTATACAAACTGTGTCATAAAATACTATGTAATTGGTGTTTGTGAAGTACTTCAGGACATTTCAAATGGAAGGACTGTAGAAGTTCAAAGTACTTTTTTGTTGTTTTATTAGATGTGAAGTTTTTCTAAAGTAAAAAAAATATAATTTACTGGCAGATAAACAGCAGCCTGAAAGTAAAACTGCTTCTTTATTGTGTATACAGAGCTTTTGTCCAAACTGCTCCATACTGCTCTGGTACAATAAAGCTCAAAGTTTCAAGTTTGAACACTGTATAGGAAGTTGTAGATAAGGATGAAGACCATGACTCTTAAAACCTTCTGCTGTGGGCAGTTCAGGAAGTCCAGTTGAAGGGATTTGTTTACCATGACTTCTTCCACGGAGACACAATGGGTTGGATTTATCACAATGCCTGGCACCATCTTTCTTTAATAGTTCTTTGTAGGGAAATTTCAGGGAACCCTAAAGTGAGCCTTCCCTCTCACTTGGGTACAAAGCAGCAGTGGAGCCCTGTGCCATCACTTGCACTCTGCTCCAGCAGGGTGTGCATGCAGGAAAGCTGGGTAAGTGTGGCTCTGCGAAGTATCATCTCTGCACTTTGTTACTCCACCCCACATTTTTCTTTTTTTCAAAACTCTACTAGTCCAGACATAACAGCAAAACCCATGAAACATGGCTTGACTGGACACACTTTGTATCCAACACTTTGTTCCACCTCCACTCCCAGAGGTATGTTTGCAGTGCCTTATTCCCAAAAATGTCCTACTCTCATGTTTGGAAGGTGCTGCTTCACTGGCCTTGGTGACAGAAAGACTGGTGTGAGTAGCATTAGTTTCAGGGTGGGCTAAGAGAGAAATATTTGTACAATGCTTTTTAGTTCTTTTACATAGACTGAAAGAAACACTTCCTTTGTTATGTGCCTGTCAGTGACTGCATGGTACAAGTCTGCATGAGCTGCACACACTATAGTTTAAACCTTCTAATTTTTAAAACTTGTCCAAATCCAAAAGTGAAGACACTGCTCAGAGAAACTGCCTGGTTGGGGTTATTTTGAAAATCTCTCAGGGTTTATGTGGCAATTCAGACATGCTACACCCTATGGTAGATACAGATCAACCGCATTGGTATGTATTCTTAATATGTTGGTAACCAGTGGATTTTTTTTCCTTCTCTCTTCCTCCTTAGTGGCTGTCTTACTCAGATGGTATTTATGGAGAACCAAGAAATGCCAGAAGCAAAATTCTTGCAAAGACACAAATGTAAATTCTTGCTGGTTTCCTAGAATGCCTTTCACCTAAGATGCTTCTGAAAACCAGGACCAGAGGCCCAAAATGCAAAGCTAGGTAAATGTAAATGAAGAATAAGGTTGACAGTCTTTTGTGTTTCTTGCTTGCTATGCAGGTTAAAAAGTTGATTGTTTTAGACCCCAAGAAACGCCTCACCACTCTACAGGCTTTGCAGCACCCATGGGTTACAGGGAAGGCAGCAAACTTTGCACACATGGACAACGCACAAAAGAAACTTCAAGAATTCAATGCCCGGCGTAAACTTAAGGCAAGTCTCTGCACACAGTCTTTGTTTTGGCTATGAAAGCATGCAATTAAGTTAGTAACCTTGCAGAAACCTTGCATATCTTTTGAGGACAACATTCCATAGTAGTATGGAAGATTTTTATTTAAGGTGACTGATGAAGATTGAAGAAGTGGAAGCTGATTTAGTTGATAACTGAAGTCAAATAAATAAAAATTGGTGAAGCTGATTGATAACTGTCCACACAGATAAAACTGCTGAAAATGCACACAACTTTTGAAATGTTCTTACCTTCCTTCCTTCCTTCCCTTCTTCCTTCCTTCCTTCTGTCCATCTGTCTGTCCTGTACTGCTTATACAGCAGGCAGCTAGGCATCTAACTGATGTAACATCAGGAAACTGTGATAGAGAATCTCTACAGGGAAAAGAAAAACATTTTGTCGTTTATAAAATTCTCAGAGATTCTAGACATAATTCACATTGATGTTTTGATTTTGTTTTTCTTTATATTTTTACACCTTTGATCACCAACAGGATTTTTTTGAAGCCCAGTTTATTTAGATCCCTGTAGTCAACCAATTTATTCTTTTGTGACTAAAAGCTAATGCTTTTTATAAGTTTGATTCTTCATTGCTTTTCCATTAAAATGATCAAATCTTCAATTATTAAGAGAATTGATTGAAGTTAGCAGTTATTGTAGAGTTATACACATGTAAAATAAACTGTAACATTTTAGACAATTAATTCCTAGACAAAAAAAAAATAAGACCAAAGCAGAAACACAAGTAATACAAGCTTTAGTTGTTTTGTTAGTAAAATAATATGAAATTATCCTCCCTTTCCCAACATACAAATCCAGAGACAGGCTTTCTTTATGTAAAGACGTATTTTTATTACATAACAATAAAGGTCTTGGCCATGATTTTGTTTTTCATAAGCTGTGTTTAATTTGTTTCATAAACATCCACATGGCTTGTGAGAGATACACTAAAAGTATCTTTGGACATTATAATATCATTGGGTGGCCTGTTCTTGTAATCAGTTGTCCAAAGTCCTCTCATCACTAAGTGGATGTCTGTGATTTTTCTTTTAAGAGGTCTAGACTCTCACTCTTGCCACTTTTATTGGGTTATGCCTTGTAATTTTTCTTCATATTCTGTATTAGCTGATTCTTTTTTATTGACAATGTCTATGCAGTCTGTTTTTTATTAGCATCTTCCTTTTTTTTGTTTTGTTCCTTTGCTTCTGTTTGTTTGTTTGTTTGTTTCAGTGTGACTACCTGTCCAGGGTATCCACAAAACTTGCTATACTCCTCACCTCCTCCCAAAGACCCACTTCTGCGATGCCTTAGCAAAAAGCTAGCCAAGTCAAAAGTAACAGCTAGCCAAGTCAAAAGTAACTTGAGCTGTCATACACAGAGATCAGTATTTCTTTTCCTCACCTCTGTATGTTTGTTTTTTCAGGTAATAAAACTCTTTGAGGCAAGGGCTAATATAACTGTCTTCATGAGTGTCTTCATTTTGTAATATGTTGACATGAAATCCTACAAAAAAGGAGTGGCTTTACATGTATATCCTTAGGACTTTGCCAATATACTCTGCACCATTGTGCTTGGCATATGCAATAGTTCAATAGTAATAAATATTGTTTTCGTTTGTGAAATTTTCATGGAATAATCAGTGGTGATACTGTTATTATTACAGCAGAAGATGGCTTTCTCTTTAACTTCAACATGGGAAACTTGAAGTGGTTTCTAAAAAAAAAATATGCAGCACTTACAGCTGAAAAAAAGAAGTCATGTTCATGTTGTCCAACTTGTAACCTTGTGATGGCAGCAATTTTAAACCTCAGTCTAGAATTTCTGATGGTCTTCCAAATCTGTCCAAGCTCAGGCAGGTCTGTGATGTTACCACAAAGACTAAAGGTGGTTACATTCCCTAAGGGGACGATGTGAGGCTGCATTGCTAACATTCCATGTCCTTTAAGGAATATTTGCTTGGTTTTCTCTCTCCCAGGCTGCAGTAAAAGCTGTTGTGGCATCTACACGCCTTGGCAGCGCCAGCAGTCACAGTGCACAGGACAGCAACAAGCCCAACCACAACCCATCGCCTGTCCTCGGTGGCAAACCAGAAGAGAAACTCACTCAGGAAGCAGAAGCAGCTCCAGAGGAAATGTCTTAGGTTGATGTGCTTCCTTGTTTCAACAGAGATCTGTCATTTCACACACCAGCTAATTTGTCATTCAGCAAGGGAGATTCGTAAGCTTGGCCTCTCTTGTTCTGCTTTAGGGTGCCAAATGCTCTGGTTGGTGATCCTACCTTCAATGCATGTGACTGCTTATGAAAATAGTAAACTGTTCCATAAGGCATGTCATGGAAACAGTGTAATTTGCAGTAATACCGGCAGGTGAAAATATGGGGATGAATAACTACCTACCATAACGTGTATACTTCATATACATCTATTTAGTGTTTCTAGATGGCATTTGAAACAAAATGCTGTTTCATTTAATTTTATGCAAGTAGTTGTCTTATCTGTGTTGTGAGTTTATTTAGACTGTTTCTTTCCAGATCCATAGTCCTTGAGCAGACAAAATGGAAGGAAATACCAAACGAATGCTTTTAAAACTGATGTATGAAATAATGCTTTTTATCTGTAAAATTGAAAAAGTATTTGGGGATTTACATGCAAAAAAACACATTCCACTACTTCTGGGAAGAGATTGAAATGTTAGTTCCACTGGGCGTGAAAATGTACATTGCTCGAGCTTGCATTGAGAATGCCTTATTCAGATTTTTCCTGTTTATATACAATATTTTAATAACAACCAAAATTACTCAGATTTCTGCCATTTAATTGTGTAGTAAAGTGTTAGTGAAACAAAACAATAGACTAAACAAGGATTAGAGTAAATGCAAACTTTTGACATACCATTATATTTATTAATTAATTTCTAAACTGTGCAGCTAGAAGACTTTTTATAGAGCCTGAGGGAGTAATCTGCAATTAAATAAGTTGTAAATGCTTAAAGGAAGCTATTGTACAGCTTACTGATTTTACTTTGGGGAAATACTCTTTATACAAGATCTTGGAGCAAGTAGTATAATCTCATTGGTTCCTGGGTGGTTTAACCTCATGAGTAACCAGTTTCCATTTGTCAGCATAATCAGTCCATATTTTCCTTACAAAGGACTCCTGCTCCATGTAAAGTGATCCTCCAGCACAGATCTTGCATCCACCCCGAGTTCCTGTGTCTTAAGTTATTAGCTATGTGCTTCGATCAGCTTGCAAAAGTAGGGTCAGGCTCTTGAGCTGTCTTGATGTTTTTGTTGAATGTCATTGAAAGAAATGGAAAAATTAACATGCATCAGGATGTGTGATCATTTATAGCTGTTATCAATTAAACATCATAGACTGTCATCAGGTTATGTTACAGAAACAGCAAAAAGAATCTGATGTACAACAATAACATTTGTGCTCATTAAACTTTTTAATACCGATAGTTACCTAACATCCTAATACACTCAACATTTCTCCTTTGCTTTCATGGTTTTTATGTTGATGTTAGGCCTTGCGCAACTTGTTTTGGAAAAATATACTGAAAAACCAACAATTCAGTAAAACAGTCAGAGGCTATATTTCCTGATTAGATTAAAAGGTAATGCAGTGTTATTCAGATGGTAGGTTTGATAAATAAAATGTGCTCTAGATTAATAAATAAAGGAAGATTAAAGATACTGTCATCACTAGGTGAGAAGGCATGCTAATGAATGTATTATACTTGAGATTTTTTATCCACTTCTTAGAACTCTTAATAGTTGTACAAAAAGGTTTGCTAACTAAGCAGCATTGCAATTTAAAGTACATGTATTCATCCTTTTTTCAAGTGGCACACTTTGAGGTCAGCTGAAATAGCTGATGGGTTCATGACAGCTGTGTAAGGCCAACAAGACACTTTTGCAGATTTTTCCCAGTAAGTAAGACTAATTACTCTGGAGAAGATGATAGGTACATTCACCTGTCTTACTTCCAGTGAGGTGACTGCAGCACAAATGCATTTCTCACCCACTTTATTCATCCCTCTGGTACTGTGGTGAAGCCATCAAAGTTTGGTCCCTAGGGAGGTTTGATGGGAGATGCTGGATTTCTGTAATGTTTTCATATAGTTGCATCTAATCTGCAGGAGTGTAGCTTGCTGCAAAGTCATTGTGCAACTATGAGAGCAGAAATATCTTCATGTGATGGTTTGATAAGCTGAAAAGTAGTCCCAGCTGACTCTTAAAGTTACTGTTTTGCTAAATTATACCATATCATATAGTAACTGTGAACTGAGGTCATGCAACAGGAGACCTCTCTGTGATAGCATGATCTCAGAGGCAGCTCTGAGGCAGTACATAAAGGCTCTGGGGCTTCAGTTGTTTTTACTTCATTTCCTTCTGTTATGCTCTACATGAAACAGGATGGATGCCTGTGCTGAATGGATTACCAGTTTCTGACTCAGTAAAGCAGTGTGCCTTGCTGATGTTTGACAGCACCACACACAAGGAAGAGGAGGACCAGGGTGTATGTATGCAGTGGAAGAGAGAAGTGTTACCTGCATTCATTTTGTCTGAAAAATCACCTCCCAGCAGTATCTGCCATAATTCAGACTGGGGAGTGCAACACCAGTGTCTTACTGTGGCTGAAAAATATGAACACACTTGAAAACTACTGGAGATGGACCAGTTACACCTCTGTGGTTATAAACTAGGTAGAAAGTCACTGATGCTCTTTTCTGTTGAAATCCTAAACTTCAATTTTTAAAAATATTTAACATATTAACCAAGTCCTTTAAGTACAAAAAGGGAAATCTTTCTTCCTTTTTGAAGTATTTGAATTGAGCAAAACTTTCCTTTTTATAACAGATTGTAGCACTGGCCAATTAAAGTCTAATATCTGAGAGCTTGGCTGAGGATCTGATGGCTGTTAAATAGCCAACAAAGTCCTGCCTTTGCAGCACAAGATTTTTCACAAGTTTAGAAAGATTCATCCCAAAATAGAACAGAGCTCCAGTAATCTTGAACAGTCTTGCTTGCAACTTTGTGGATGATACAGTAGACCACACTGCATGAGCCTGGTGCTGGTTTGTTAGCTTAAGATTGTACTTTACATTGTGCAAGTATGCTGTAAAGAGGCAGGCACACCATAATCAAACTTTTGAATGCAAAAGAGCACCAAGGTAAAAGTTTTAGTTAGAGCCTGTGGTTCAGAAGAAGGGTACTAAGGACTCTGTCTCCAGAAGCAAGAAGGCTGTTGGGCATACAGAGTGACAAAAACTGCCCAGAGTCCCCTTTGCCTCAGTGAATAATGCAAAGAGTTCTGAAAAGCTGTGTAATACTAGAGCAGGACAAAAGTGGCAACCAAAAAGTTTTTTGAAGAGACCCAGGTCAGCAGGGAGCCCCAGGCTGGGAGGATTGCTCTGGCTTACTGGCAGCCAGGCTCAATACTTGACAAATAAAGTGTGTTCTACAACTCTCACTGTAAGCACAGACACAAAAGGCAGCCATGGGGGAATGAGGACAACACCACATTTTCTTCAGCCCAGCAACGGGGAAAGGGAAGACGGTGCTGGGAGTAGTTAATGTCCAGCTTAGCAGAAGGACAGCACTGTCTGCTAAGCAGTAAATGCAGTTGGACTCTGGAAGATAAAGACTCATTTCCATGTAACAAAGTCCTTCACCTCCTGTACCCCTGCTGGAGCACACTGATATGCATAGCACCCCAGGTCTCTGGGGTTTTAGGAGTGGCATATGAAGGTGTAGGGTGATCTTTGCATGGTGTTCTGCACATTGCCTCCTTACAGAATGACAGGCACAAGCCTCAGCACAGTGCCTTGACCCCAGGCTTGTGCAGGGGCTGGCTGTTATTCCCAGTGAAGAACTCAGTTTTGTGTGGCTGAATCTGCCTTGTTGTTGCTGAGCCTATGAATGCATAGCTCATGTAGGCATGGCATTCATGTAACAAAAAATATCAGGCTGACCAATCAAGATGCACAGTTACACCTAGAGCACAGTGGCAGGGATGCATGCAAGTCCTGGGGATACAAAAGGTGAACAAATGTCCATTCTTCCATTTCAGAATAACTTCAGGTAGAACATAAAACCACAATAGTGAGAGCTTATTCTTCTTTTGTATAAAGAATCTAACTCCTCTGGTAAGCCCCTGCACAATACCATGTTTCATTGAACAAAAAACGTCAGATGTGTTGCAAAATAAGAAGAAAACAGCAAGGAATGAAAAGGAAGAAAATAGGAATAAAATATTTACCTATAGGTATAAAATATTTACCTAGGCACAGAGCTCCTGGAGCAGGGCCAGCAGAAGGCTACAAAGATGATGAGAAGACAGAAGTATCTATGAGAAAAAGCTGAGAGAGCTTGGGCCTGCTCAGCCTTGAGAACAGACAGCTGAGAGGGGACTTCATCAATGTATTCAAGCATCTGAAGGGAGGGTGTCAAGAAGCTGGGTCCAGACTCTTCTCATTGGTGCCAAGCAATAGGACAAGTGACAATAGGCAGAAACTGATGCACAAGAAAATCCGGAATATGAGAACTTTACTTTGCTGGTGACTAAACACTGGAAGAGGTTGCCTGGAGGGTGTGGCGTCTTCCTTCCTCAAATTACTTTTGAACCATATGGATGCAATCCTGTGCAATGTGCTTTAGGAAACCTGGCTTGAGCAGGGAGGTTGGACTAGATGACCACACCAATGGGCCCTTCCAACCTCACTCATTCTGTGATTCTGTGATTCTACGATCTTAGTTTCAGAACATGTCTAAGCTTTTACTAGCAAGACTCTAGATTCTCCACATAAGCAAAATTTTCTTTATATCTCAGAGGCTAAACTTCTGGCCAGAGTACTTCACTGAAGATTGCTGGTGAGTCAGTGAACAGCATCCTTTGGAGTATGAATCCTCTAAACAATATAAGGACAGAACAATGTACATGCATATAACTAGAAGTCCAGTAAACACACACAAGTAAAATCTGCATTACGTCTTCTTCTACCCTCCCAAGTGAAACAGAGAATATAAATGCAGTCATGAACTTAGTCATTATTGGAAGGCATTCAAATATTGTGGGAATAGGCATAGTATGGAAGCTGAAATACAATGGAATAGTCGAAGTGGCTCAATTCTGAATTTAGCAGATTAAAATATGAATATGTACCTGCACATACAAATATATAAATTCACTAAAAGAGATTGCTGAACAATCTGTAAAAGCCATGTCTCTATTAACAGTTGCAGCACTTTTTAAGTCATCTTTTGTCCTTTGCCAGCACTACTCAGCTGGAACTGAAACCATAATGATTAAAAGTCTTGTATACATGGATCACTGCTGAATGAAATTCAGAGTAACAGATATCAGGGAATGAAAGATAATGGTACAGAGTTTTGCAAGCTCTGGCTTCTGCCAAGGCACAGTTGAGAAAAAGATTACTTCAGTGCCCTTGTCCTTCTGTATGGTCAGTACTTGGGCTGAAGTGTGGCCACCTGAGAAATTGCAGCATTTCAGAGAGTTGTATGACAATACACAAAGAGCAAAACTTAAAGGAATCTTATTTTTTCCATTTGAAACTCTGGCCTCAAGAACAAGTGTTAACATGCATTCATGGCCAAATGGCTTCCTGTTATTCTTCCCTTTTGTGCCTCCTCTTTTTTTCCTGGCCCTGGATCCCATGGGGCACCCAGAAAGAGCTGTCAGCTGCCAGTCAAAGGGTAAAGAGCCATCTGACACTTGCAGATTTCAGCTTTTCTGCCCTGACAAATCTGCTGTTGCCTTTGGGTCTGTCAGATGTTTCACTCCTGCTCTTGTGCTCCCCGAGAGTCTGAGTTTACATATATCACCGAGGTATATGTATATCTCTGTATATATGTATATCTCTGTGAGTTGCCCCTGATGTGGTTTGTCATTGCCAGTTAGTAGCCAGGGAGAAGTGTTTTTATTTTCCCTCCCCATTTCCTAGATTCATGATGTTTGCTGGCACCTTTAGTTTCCTTTCTCAAGAGCCTACACGTGGCTGACAGAAATATCTCAGTGATGTACAAGAAATGCTAGACAGAAACAGAAAATAATTTGGCTTCTTGGGTTAGTTTACCAACAGAAAGGGAAGGCACCTGGGCTGCTGTAGAAGCTGTTAGTATTTGGAATGAGGGGTTCAGAGCAAAGTGGCACAAGAATAGCACCATGCCATGTTCTGCTCCTCAGCACCAGGAAGATCCTTTGTCAATAGCACCTTTTTCCTCCTGTAGAAAAGACTTTTAGGTCAATCAAAAGAAACACATCAGGTTTAGGAACTCTGAAAAATATCATGCGTGCCATGACCAGTGATCTTAATATCAATTACTTAATACCAATTGATATACTTAGTATCATATTTTATGCAGCATTGCCATTTAAAGTGTTGGCAAAAGAAAGTATGAAGTCAGTTCAGAACACTTGGTCCCATTTCTTGCCTGAGCTGTAAATAATGATCTGCTTTGTAATACAAAAGTCTGTGAAGCCAATCATTGCACACACAGGGGAAGTCTATCAAAGAGAAAAAAGACTGTAATTCTTATCCATGTTTTGGGTGGATCTAGGATGGCTCTTCTAACTGAAACTACTATGTCAAATGACTTGAACTGGTAAACCCAAAAGCTAAGGGTAAGCCATTAGATGTGATTTCCAGCTGCAAATGGCATGTGATCTGTCCCAGAGACGGTATGCCCTAATAGCCACAGAGTCATATTTATTCATCCACAGGACTGTGCATAGGGGTTTGCATCTTCATATCAGTCCTCAGATCCCAAGCATAATGGTGTTACCTACAGATGCTGACTTTACATGAAGGAGCACAACGTCACCAAATCCCTAACACTGAACAGTAAATGCCGACAACAAAAATGCCAGAGAACTTTGCTACAGAACACACCCAAGAGAGCTCCTCCTTAGCTTTGTGTCAATAAGGAACAAAGTGAAAAGTGTCTCTTAAGTGTTTCTTCCAAGGTCTCAGGTTCCTTGATTTCTGTTATTTTTCAGACTTCCCCACCAGACGTTTACAAAAGTATTGAAACGTATTCAGTGGCAGCCTTTTCCAAATGGATAATCCTCACCACAGACTCGACTTTTCATTTGTCAGACATCAAAGTTTCATTGTTTGTACTAGTAATATGGCACCCAGTCTCTTCCTCAGCTTATTATGGGGCCTGAAGTAGTCTTTTATAGAGAAGTTCGTCAAGAAACATTTCACGATATTAAGCAAATGGACTGTATGTATATTTAGAATAAAAATATCTTTGAAGGATTTCCCGAACCCCTGCTGCAGCAGTTTACTCCCTGAGAAGTATTTTCCTTGGGAATGACAGTGATCCATGGGACCCTCCAAAGCATCCAAGCTGGTGCCACCACCAACTTAGTGCCCTCAGTGTAGTGGTAGTGCCTTGTTTGCTCTGCTCAAGTCCTTACCGTTGTGGCTACTGGGAAACAGTAATTACAAACTAAGAGATTTTTAATAAAAGTAATTAGAAACAAAAATATTTGAAACAACTAGGTACTGAGAGCTAACCCAAGCTGTGGTTTTGTGCCGTTATGCACAACAGAAACCTCTTCCCTGTTCATGCCACATCCTCCTGAGATGTCATGCTAATGCTTCTGATTAAATAGCAGAAATTTCATTTAATGTTCCATAAGGGAACATTGTTCTGGGCTTTGGTTGGGAAATTTTTTGTTATTTCTTTTTTTTCAGAATACAGAGTGTTGAAAGGCCTATGCTCGTGAGAAAATTACCTCTGAAATGATTAGATGCTCAGGGAGAAGGAAAGATGGAGAGATGGAGATGAACCGTAGTCATAGAACCATAGAATCATTCAAGTTGGAAAATACCTTTAAGATCATTGAGTCCAACTGTTAACCCAGCACTGCCAAGTCCACCACTAATGGGATGGTCTTGCAAAACAGCAATGGTGGCTGGTCCAGCTTGTGAGGGAGTGGGAGGAGGTGAAGAATCATTGTGGGGAGCAGTTTGTTAGTCTCAAGGAGCTAAACCACCATGCCCTTGCAATCTCATGAAGTACTGAACAGAAACTGGCTGGCTGCTCCACACCCACAGTAAGGAGCTCACCAGCTTAAGCTGGTTTTAATCTGAAGAAATGTGATATGCTAAGGGCTTGTGTCTGCCTTGGCCTTTGTTTGGAGGCTTCTGGTGGCTCCTGGCTGGGTGAGGACCAGACCATAAGTGCGGAATTTTGTGATTCTATTAATTCAAGAATAGTATATGCTGCATGGTTAGAGTATGTGCTGATGCTTCCAAGACAAACAGACAAATGGTGCTATTGACTAGTAACACAAAGTATTTTATAAGCCTGTTACAGAAGCTCATTGATCTCAGAGCAATGGTGGCTGGATTCTTATTAATAACAATGAAAAATGTTATATATATATGTGTATATATATATTAGACTTTCTCAAATTAGCTCCATGTCCTATGTGCCTGTGTCCTTCTTTTACTGCTTAGTTGTGTGAGAAATCCTGCACTGTCAATGCTGTTTGCTTCTATTAGCAAAGATGTTAGCAACTAGATAGACGTTTATGGATTGCTTGTTTAACTGTACACTTTTACTTCTGACTAAAAGCCTGTTTGTGTAGTAACTTATCTGATACTGTGCAAATGAACCAGAGAGAATTTTGAACCAGAAAAAAAAAATCGACTGTTTTGTTATTTCAGTGTATTGTGTGGGACCAATGTACCTGCCTGTGTGCTTGCATGGGAATGCTGATAAGACATGAGAATATGCTTTGATGGTGGGACATCAGTTTTTAGTAAGTGGCTTGCATGACTGATCTGATGCTAAATAAACTAGTAAATCTAGAAATGCTTACATCTATTATTTGCTGACAGCTAATGCTCAGTGTAAAGTAAGAAACAATAGTCATCATTCCAGAGAGATGTATTCGATGGGTGTTACCAGTTTATATTGCAAAGCCTAGAATGGTTTCCAACTTGGCATAGCATTTCCCCTGTTCCTCTTCCCTCAAAAACTTAGCAGCTGAGTAACAAACTAAATATGTTAGTGGTGGAGTACAGAACTAGAGGGCTGACCAGGTTGTCCCTGCGCCTTAGAGAGGGTTATGTGAGACAGAAGCTTGTGTCACATTTTGCTGAAGACTTGATGAAGATGCCACCACTACCTTGTACACTCTATCAAATTTTTCTGCTAGCCTTTTAACTGGGAAGTATTTTATAAAATTCTGAGGTTTTTTGTTGCTGTTAACAGTTTGTCTATCATGGTGATTATGAAACCAAAAGCTGTTAAAATGGTCCCTTGTTCAGCATACCCATCTCTCAGCAGAACAAACCAAGTCCTTCCCCAGAGGACATATGCTCTTTCACTGCTCTTCTTGCTTGCATATGGATTTTCTACCTGAAGCTGATTACTCTCCATCTTGAACTATATTGACAAAAGCTATGTAGCCCAAAGCTGCATGTGGTACCTGAGTGGAGGTCTTTGCATGACTGAGGTGTTGAACGGATTATTTTTTGTTTCTCTGTGCTGTTCCCACATCTGTCGTTCAGCACCCGTAGTGGTGTTCCCTCCTGCACAATTTGCAAGAATGGTAGCTTGGCCACTTAGTTGCTGCCCTGTAGTGGTGCAGCTTGTTATTCCTGTCACCTACAACTCCTTAGTCTTGCAAACTGCTTGAATGCAGAGTCCCCACATATCCAGTTGTCAGAGATGATTTTTCAAAATTTCAAAGAAATAAATCATGCTGAACTCTACAGGACATTTTGCAGTCTTCCAAAAAACCCCATCTCATTTGGTACTTCCACAGATGTAGTTGGATATTTTCCCAAACTAAAGCAAGGCACAGATTCTTACTACAGTTTCGTGAAATCATCTTTTCCACGCCTCCATAGCAGAATGGAAGAGGGGAGTGGAAAGTCCAAGGGAGAGAGAGGGTATGTATCAACGTGATTTTCAGCCCCCCTGGAGCTCAAGGTTTTTTTGCTTTGGACTGACCTCTTAAAAGTAGCACAGCAAACAACTGTGCAGAAGCTCATGATATAGTATGACATTATTCTAGTTTTACAGAAAGCTTGAATCAAACAAGACCATAGGAAACAAGAAAGAGCTAACAAGTCAGAAAAACTTCTCGTAAATTAGGATAGCTGGGGAGTTAAACAAAGATATGCTGCTCCATAACTAACAAATTTCTGCATTCCTGTTGATGCCTGGTAAAATCTTTCTTAAAAAGCTTCAGGGATTTGCAATTATGTCCTTCTGAGCAGTTCAAGCACCTGTTTCCTTCAAGATGTTGCACGTATCGTGGAAGTTTTATGTCTGAAATACCGAAGGGTACAGATGGTTTTAGGATTCAGTATTTGTACACACACTGTGAATTCTCTATACTTTTGTTATACTTTCATTTGTTTATACTTTTACTTATCCTCCAGAACAAGCATGCTGTGATTTCTTTCCTTCTTCCTCCAAATTGTGAGGAGTATGGCACCCAAATAACATGGGTACTCATATTTGCTGCTGCTAAAATTCCCTTAAGCACTACCCTGCATTCCCACTGCACGTGGGAGCCTGAAGTAGTAACAACGCACTGGCTGTAATCCTGATTTGAGCCCAAATGAAAAGCAGCATTCAGATTGACACACTGAGAAAGTCAGGGAGTCTTAGCACAGTACTTTGCTCTCTAGGGTCATAACCTGCCTCAGAGAGGGGTCGTACTGGCAGGCAGGTCAGCAAGGCCCAGGTACAGAGTTCAGGAAGTGCTTTTTGTCACACATGCCAGGGCACAGCCAAACTGGTCCACAGATGGCTTGAGCAAGCTTACTTTCTGGTAACATTTTGGGCAGTAACTGATCTCCTAACAGTTCCACCTATGCTGCCTGTATCAAAGAAAAATATTCAGAGATTATTAGGTCATCATAGCGACTTTCCATACTGAAAGAGACATTTAAAAAAAAATTACTTTGGAGAAAATAGTTCTGGATAATGTGTTGTGATCTGAGGCTCCTTAACCCTGATGGGTTTCTTATTGTGTGGGTCAGCTGTGAAACATGCACAGGTATCTTGTCAGGTGCTGTTATGACCTCCCCATGCTAATGACACAATCCTGAGGAAGGTCAGGAACCCCATGATAATCAGGCCCTGTACTGTAAAACTAAATCTCCAGCACAGCTCAACGATGACTGGAAAAGGCAGAACGTATTCCAAAGTTCAAACTGTCCTCTAGGACTTCCGTTAATATTTAGAATAGATTTAATATCTCTTCCATCATCATATTATCTTTTACCAGGAAATGGGTCTAAACACCACTATTTTCTTTTAGTTATTCTAACTAGTGACTTTAATCATTTTCCAAAGATCCAAAGAGGTCTCTATAGCTATTCCTACCCCACTTTGCAGAAGGTGATATGATACAAGCTCTACAAGAGCCTGCTATATCTCAGAGGTCACAGTTGCTTTTCTCATCTCTCTCCACTGAAGTCAAATGCTACAGAACTTTACAACTTTTATGCCAACTTAATAAGAGAAACAAGGAAAGGTTCTACATAAAATACAGGGATTTTCTTCCTTTGTTTCTGTAGGTGTTAATTAAATATGTGTCAATACACATGTTCCATTTTTTATAAAACCTAATCTATATGCCTTCTTCAAGGTGCTACATGCTCATGTTTTTAAGATTAACTTCATTTTGATGGATAATTTTCGTAAACATTTCTTAAACATACTAAAAGGTAAGTAATACTAAGCCAAAATAATAAAGTTCTTCCACATCAATCATGTGGTCATCACAAAAAATCCCCAAACAAACAACCCAAACCCAAACATTTTTAGAATGGAAGCACTGAGAAAATTCTACTTGTACAGTTTTCAAGAGATTTCAATCTAGAAGAGGTCTGACTTGGGCATCTTCCTTGGCCTAAATTAAGTTTCTAAGTAGAAATAGGCTTTATGGCTTTCAAATTTAAGGAGACAAATTGATATAATTAGAGATCACTACATTATTGAAGATGAACTACATTATCAGACATAACTCCACAAAAAGTCACTGAATGGTACATCTGGTTGCACAAGAATTGAAAAAGCTACATCACAAGTCTGTTGGAATCCAGTATTTGAATTTATTCTGCAGTTGCATTCAAAATAGAAATACAATCACTTAAATGCTGAACACAGTAAGTTAAACACACTGTTAAAATAGACTGACATTGACTTTCTACAGACAGGCACAACTCACCTGGTTTCCCTAGTATTAGGGCTACTTTTACAGCAGTGAACCTCCTAGGCTGGATCAGCAGCTCACACCATCAAAACCATTCTGGTTACTCATGATTACTGGATGAATCATATGCTCCCTTTGTGTTTTATAAATACTCTGTATTTCACATAAAGTCATCAAATTTGGGATCAGGGCCTGTGCAGAGGGTATCTATCTAAAGTAGTGGTCCACCTCCCAGCAAGCTGTGGTAGAGTTCCTTGGACTGCCCCCAAATTGTACTTAGACCAGTCTCTACCTTCTGCATATGTAAAATAAGGAGCACAACAACCGGCAAAGTTTAATGCTGGAGGTTTTAGATGAGGAACAGAAGCCAAACACCACAATTGTCTTATCTTTAGTCACTTCTCCCATACACACAGAGCACCTAGTTAAAGTGCCAAAGAGTAAAGCATCATATTGCTCAAATCCCTAAAAAAGTTAAGATTTTTTTAAAAAGTATTAGCCATATAAAAATAATTTTCATAATATACATGCTATTTCCCTAACAAAAACAGGTCTCTGCTATACTTGGCCACCTTGTTTAGAAGTTGCTTCTGGATAAATACATTCCAGGTTAATTGAAACACTCTAAAACTCAAGTGACAGAAATCTATACTAAACAATTTACTTTGTCTCCCATTTCTTTTGCATAAGCAAAACATGGATTCCTACACTTGTCCTTTCAAACTGCTTTTCTGTTTTAACTGTCTTGGTTCCATCTAGATTGTCAACTAACTTAGGAGGAGAAGAATGCCAGGGTAGGAAAAGGCTCTGATTTTGAGGCTTTTAGTTCTGATGTACTCTAGTTAAAGAAGAGCTCTGCTTCAAGATCTAGCACTTCTCTCTATCTATAGCTATATAAAACAAATTTTAATTTTGGTTTCAAATAAACAGAATAGACTACGAAATTAGACATCTTTCTTCTAGTTTTGTATTGCTCTGTAGATGAACTGAATTTTTTATTAAAAACATCTTAAAATACACTAGCAATTTTCTTTTATTTAAGTTCAAGTTCTTCTCTCTTCAGCTGCTCTGTGCTTCACCAGCCTGTCTTTACTGAAAGCATAAAAAGCCATTTCACTGAATACTAAATAAGGACAGATATTCTAGAAGTGTTAGAGCCCCTAAAATGGGCGTTTGGAACAGGGGCCTCTCAAACTTTTCTGCAGTTCCTAGTGCTCCTTTACACCAAGGAGTGTAAAGGGAATGGCAGAATACACAAAACCCAACAGGGAGTTAACATTTTCTGCCTATGAAGACACCAAAGGCTGTTTGATGCACTGTTTTTAACAGTCTTAAATATCTTAAAACATGAAGCACGTTGGAAAAGCCCTCCCTGTATCATGTGTTTTCTACCTCTTTTTGCCTGAGCAATGAGAAAGAAAAGTCCTCACTGTTTGGAGTTCAGCTACAGTGACCAGTGTCAAAAAAAGCCAATGTTGCAGGGAAAAAATTTTCATCTGATTTTTTTTTCCTAAGAGTTCATTACCAGTCTTTGGACTATGTGCATACAACTGCCTGCAAAATATCAGGGCTTCAAGGTACCTTTCCTAATTACTACACAGTTAAACTCATCACTGCAAGCACAGGTGAAGCACAGGGATAATTACAATCTCACCTGAGCATATGACACATACCAAGATTAAAAGCCTAAAAAAAGAGGTTTTTGAAGAGATTTCAGGTTCCTAGTAGCACAGAGAGTAATCTTTTGAATGCCCCTTCTACCTGTCAGAGTGACTAGGTTGCTGAAAATCCTTTAAAATTTGGACCTTAAAAAAGGACCCTCCACCCTTCAGCATGTCTGAACAATTCTGCAGCATGAGCTTTGCCTTCAGGTGCTCACATTTTAAGATGCTAATTTCATTTATTGCAAAGAGTAATCTAGGGGTAATACCACAGAATACTACACAGCACCAGCCTGCTGTCAGCCTGTGCTGGCTACAGCAATGCCCATACCTCAAAAAAATGACTGGCTCTTATTGTTGTTTAAAAAAACCTGAAAAAGCAGGTTTTTCAGTTAAGGAAAAAACACACACACACATAGCCCCAAAACCAAGCATACACACACACACACACACACACACACACACACACAAACAAATTGCATGCAAGTTTAAGTAAAAAATTCTTTAGAAGTGCAGGGTATCACTGAAGATCCATTGGAGATTTGCTATTTTGACAACTGTGTGATTAAAAGCCCACAAAAAAATATGGAAAGACAACTAATGACTTAAATGAGCTTTGGATCAGCTGTAAGGGCATTTCTTTATCTATGCACTCAGACTATTATATACAACAGTAAGTTACAGTTACAACATCAAAGAAATGCCAATAATGAACACTTATTTTTGCTAACAAGTGCAAAGAGATTTCTTATGAATAGTATCATTTAACAACTTAGCTATATAATATCCTTATGATAAATTAAAGCAAATTAAAAAAAAATACAGATGCAGCTGTACAAACTAAATAAATCAAAAATGTTAATATCTGTATCTATGTATCTATCTAACAAAATTACATCTTCAGTAAGATGCTTCCTGTACAGCAACCTGCACTAGCAAAATCCTGAGCACTTGGCCACCTATACTGTTGGGCAGATCTGAGTTCATGCTGCATTTTTCAAGAGCACACATGCATCTTGTGTTTCCTACCAAGGAAGAAAGGGATTTATAGATTCAGGATATTCCTCACATAGCTGCAGAGTGCTGAGCAGCAGAAAGAATCTTGCATTGGGACGGTATGCTAAGTATCACCTGGTAAAGCTGTGATCCTCAACATAAATGCTTAGGTATCATTCAGGAACAATGTTGCCTCAACTCGGCAGGTAACCTATGCTAAGCTAAAAAATATTATTTGATTGCACGGAATGCACAGGCTTTTAAGTCACTGTTTGTCTACGATTTGAGTGCCTTTTTGAGGTCAGAGTAGAAATTGGCCAAGGTACTGGACATGGCAGTGTCTACTGCAGATTGTGGAAGCATCCCCCGCAGTTCAGTCTGAATGTAGCCTGTCAAAAGGCTGTGGCTGGGACAACCCTTGAGGGGGATGCAGAACCAGCCGCAAGGGTGATTGAATCCACGCACAAAGTTAGGCCTCACCTCCCCATAATCGAGGCTTACACCTATCAAGGAAACAAACAAAAAGATAAATTAATTTAACACAAATAAAAAAATACAGGTGCAGTAAATTTGAAATATACAAGCTGCTTATTCTTGGGGAATTTAGTAGAAGTGACACATTTCAAGTTTCTGGGTGCTTTCATGAATGAAAGTTGCTCTTCATCCAAACTCCACAACAAACAGTGGAGAGTATGATGAGCAAAAATTCAGATATTAAAAAGACCTTCCTCCAATTTATTGGAAGCCAGTTGCTATTCCTCCCAATCTGCTCTGAGCAGGAGGACTCAATTTGTCTCTCCCACTCCTGTCCTACAGTTGACATAAGAGAAACCTGGCACACAGACAAGCCAGTACCTTTTACACTCCTTTAAGTCCGTAAAATGTTAAAACACCTTTGAAATTGTTGAAATACCTTGAATTTACTTGTTTGAGACTATCTTACACCATTTTTGGAATGTTTACTGCAGAACGAAACTGCATTTCAACCAAATCTTAAGCCAAGCAGCTGTTGCAAAATAAGGATTAAGCAGAGGTAAGAGGTGGCTTACCACATGTTAGAAGCCCATCTTCATAGTTTGTGGTGTAAGAGAAATCGACAAACTCCCTTGGTGCTATGATGTTCCAGAGCTGGCCAGCAGTTGTATAGCGCATCACACAGCAATTCTAGTTGAGTGACAGAATAAAGAGGGTGAGAAAACAAAAATAAAATGAATACAGGGAAATTCATGCTTGTAGGCAATTAGCATTTCTCACAAAGGTCGTAGCCTCTGTCAACTATGCTGTGCAAACAAATTCAGTGAAGTCTGAATGGCTGTGCCATTTTCAGTCTAAATGCTGGAAGCTGTGAGGACTGGGAGTCTACTGCCAAGAGCAGAAAATGTCTGGCACCATAAGGGTTTAAAGATCTAAAACTAGAGAACTGTGCCATGCCTGAGAACTGAAAGCCATGTGGCTCTTATGTCACTATTACTTAGGAAGTCTGAAAGGATCCTGAACAACTGAAAGAGGACTCTCTTGCTACTAAGATGTTCCAGTCAAATACTTTTGATCTACCAAGTGAAAAATAAAATGGAATGTGAACAATTCTTCAAGACAGGCTTTCTTACAAGATAATAGAATTTGCATAATTTTTTTTTTTTTACAGAATAATTAGCAAAAATACCTTGCCCTATAAATCTTCCCTAAGAAACAGAGCAAAAGACCTTCAAGCCAGATATCCAGATTAGGGGGTTTGAAGTGATACTGAATGTCTGCAGTAACAAAAGAAAGGCTACCAGCTCTTCTGTAATCAACTTCAAACCTATCTTTCTTTATTTAGTCCTGGCCCTCAGTCTGAACTATTTTGTGTCTCAGCACAAAGTCATGCCACACAAGTCAGCCTAGAGGATGCAGCTTCCATATGTGTGATTATTATTGTTTGTGGAATGGAAGAAAGCAAGCTGCATGAAAAAGCTTTGGCATATATAATATCACAGTGTAGCTCTCTATATGTTAATTTTATCAGAACTCCCAGGTCCAAGTGAATTGTGACTGACTCCTTTATTTTTAGTGTTGATGGAAAGATGCATGCCAAACTTCAGATCAGGACTGTGCTACCAGAAAGCCTCATCAGAGGTCCCACACAGCAGGTATGTGCAATGCCTAATGTGCAGAATGAAAAATGTTACTATTTGTAGGAATTATTCCTCTGCTGTACTGTTAAATTCATATATTCATCTATACACATCTCCCTTAAGAATCTAGACAAGTCTTCACCTCTTCAAATGTTTCCAAGATGTCCATTGAAGTCATTAAGCTGTCCCAGTCTAGCCTGTAAGGTCCAGGGCGAATATGATCCACTATTCGGTTAGTAACATCTTCTACCACTCCTTGAGCTTTGTAGCTAGAGAAACATATGTTTACATTTAAAAGTGAGAAATTTTTTTATATCCTAATAATTTGCAACAGTAAAGTTACATGTTAATGTACCTGGAGGTACAGACAGTGGACAACTGAATCAGAAAAACAGTACAGAAAAAGATCTGTGGGTGCATCTATTCTTCTCTACAACACATGTTATTCTGAAAAACCTTGTCTTTTTTTCTGCAAATATTTTTTAAATAGCAAAATCCTTCCTTAGGTAAAAATTAACCTTTTTATTTCTCTAATAACTTGTTATTCTGCTCCTCTTGCTAGGCTAGCAAGGGAGTTCACCAGGAAGAAGTAAAACTAAAAAGGAAAAAATAAGATCAGTAATACAATGGGAACAACATTTTTCATAAGGTAGAAGTAACAGCAGTAAAACCAAGCTAATGAGAAACTACATTATGCTTTAGTAGCATATAAGAGTATCAAATAAAATAATTTGGTACAGATGCTACAGAACATCTATTTGTTATCAGGTCTTTTTAGAGTTTTTTTTACTCAAGTTATTGGGCCTCCAGTTCCTGAAGGTGAAAAATCCATCAAGACCATTATTTTCAAAATACTTTTTGTTAACTAAGATGTTCTTATTTATTACAGATAACTAGTGAAACACTACCTTTTCACGTGACTTTTGTTTCTTCAGAGTAGCATTTTCTAGTAACTATTTCTCTGCCTAAACCTACAAATACCAAGAAATCCCAGAGACAGAAACTCACACAGGAAGGTCATTCATGTCACACATCTTTCCCACAACTACACACTTGATATTTTACTCTATTGCAGCCCCATAGTCAGTGTACCAGACCAAGCTTTGACTAACACTTCAGACCTCCTGAACCCAGACTTGATCCTGTGCTACAAAGGCCATCATTTCTGGACAGATGCTGTTGCCCACTTCAGCCAATGGGAGTTCTGTGATGTGTTCCACAGATTTCACTGTCTGTTGTTCTAAATATCATGCACCACCAAAGTATCAAAGTGTCATACTGCAAAGAAATAATACAGGTACAACAGATAATCCCTTTAGCTTCCACTCTGGTGAATCACTGTAGCTGAGGGCTGTAGAATTCACAGCATTAAGTTTTTAAATTCTGTAAAGCACATCTATGGAACATCTGCTCTGCAGGCAAACTTACAGGTATCCACTGAATTCTTCTGATGGTTTACGCCACACAGTTGCATCTTTCTGGAAAAAAAAAAAAAAAAGATATGATGTTAATTGTCACTTACATACAATTATAAGATGTTCGGAAAATGCTTCAATTTTCCTGATGAAAAGCAACCAATTTTACCACTAACTATGGTTCACCCCAAGTCTCATTGACTGGGGCACCTGGGAGATGTTTCAGATATCTCTTGTAATATTCCATTCTTTCAAAAAAATCACACAACTGCCTTTCTCAGTGTAAAATGCTAGAAACCTGCATAGAAATAGGGCTTGGTAGGCCAAGCCAGTTTGCTATGAAAACACAGAGAATAATGGAACCACATTACCAGGCAAAGCCTTTCAGTTAAAAGGCAACTAGCAAGCCATTATCTGGACACTACTTGGACAGGAAGACTACACAACTTTTGGTTGCACTCCTGCAACACATAACCAAACAGATGTGTGCAGGAGGTGCTGACAGTGGAAGAAGGGGAGACGCTTCTATGCTAAATGCCTCACTAAAAGTCTCTTGCAAGTAGTATTTTAAATTTATTTTAAAGATACACAGAGAAAATAAAGAAACTAGCATCTTCTGATTTTTAGCTAACTATTAAATGGAACCTCTGTACAACATCTCTGAATTTTGGTGTTAAAGACAGTACCATATGGCATTGCTTTATTTGGAGTCACGGTTATATAAGCACAAAGAAATAAATGTCCTAAAGAACAGTACTGTTAAGTACTGCACCCAGAACTATTTAAGATATTTTGGAGCAAAACACATCTCTTTGGTGATTGGTAAAGTTCTGAATGTCTTTTACAGGCACAGTACCAAACTGGAAAGAAAGGAGGGAAGAAAGAGAGGAGAAAGAGAGGGAGGAAGGGTCAGACAGAAGGAGGCAAAAAGAAAGTCCAACTAGAAATTTTACAGGGGTAAAATCTGGGGAGTAATATGATTTGAAACACTGAGATGCAGGTAACTTCCTACAGGAATACAACAGCAAATAACATAACAACACAGGAATACAAGAGCCTTAATAATCAGTAGAGTAGAGGAGGTACAGGTGTATTGGAAGAGTGAAAGGTTTGGATGCTCTGTTCCTCTCTTTCAAGACAGTGAATCTGTTAATTTTGCAAATAATCAAGTTACATTTGGACCACTTGACTCTCTCCTATCAATGTCTGCTCATGAAGGAAAAAAAATAATTAAATAAATGCAAGTCCCACTCAAAACACTGTGACCAAAGAGCAAAGACAGAAATTTACCACACTAGTCCTACCACATTGCAACACCCAAACACACTTCTACCTTCTATGCAGGACGGGACTAACAACTTCACCTAGCCTAGATGCACCACCAGAATCTATTTAGCTTGTTGAAGCAGGACTCAAAAAAACCCAGGCAGCTCAAAAGAAGAGAATGGCAAACTGCTTGGAGAAAGAAGGAACTATATTCCCTTTCATGAAAGGAAACCTGGGATAATGTGGGGGCTCTGAAGGCAACAAGCCGTCTAGAGATACTCTATCCTAGAGGGGCGGTTTCACAGCCCTCGTCTCACCAAAAGTCCCTCAGGACCTGGAAAAGAATTTCACACACAACAGGCTCCTTCCGTCGCACGAATGACCCACAACAGCTTCCCCCGGACCACCGACCGGGAAAGCCGCCCAGGGTGAGCACTCACGGTTTTCTTGGCCACCCTCCACTCTCCGTCCGCGATGCCGTGGTACCGCACAAGCGTGTTCCGCAGCCCCGTGGCCAGGGGGGACGGACTCGGCAGCGGATCCATCTGATTCCCCCCCAAAGATGCCCAATTACACACGCCAGAAACAAGGCAATGGGATCAGGGATGCCGACACCAGCAGGGGGCATCCGAGCCCGCGCGCTCCGAGCAAAGGACGCCGAAGACACCGCCGCTCATGTCCCCGCTTGCCAGGGGCTCCGGCGAGATCCAGCGAGACCCCGGCGCTCCCTCAGACAGACCAGCCGCGCGCGCTCCCGGACACGCGCGCTCCCGCGGCCGTGCCCCGCCCCGCCCCGCCGCGCCATGCTGGGCAGCCAATCAGAGCGCGGCCGCCGCCCTGCCCGCCCCCTCCCGCGTGCGTCACGCGGCGTCCCGCCGTGCCGTGGCGCGTTCTGCGGGGCCGGGATTGGAGGTGCGGTGAGTGGGGTGATGGAGCGGGGGGGACGCGCCTGGCCCCGGCATGGGCGTGGGCACACCCGCTGCTGGATTGGTAACACTGCTCTGCGCTCCGTCGTCTGCCGTGACAGCGCGGTACCGCCCCAGCCAGGGCTGTGCTCCTCACGCGTGCCTGTCACTGTCGCTCCGTACTGATGTCCCTGGGTGGTGGAAAGATAAATTACTTGTCGGTAGAATCACCTTGTGCCGTGAAAATTAAGCACCACTCAGCCGCCCCCTCAGCCTCTATTTCGCAACCCCACCCACTCCCCCAATCCCGGTGGAATGGGGAGGAAAATCAAAGTAGAAGTTTTAGGTTGAGATAAGAACAGTTTAGATAATTGACAATGAAGTAAAAATGCAGTAATAGTGGTAAATGAAATTATTATAAGGGAAAAAAAACCGCACGTGATGCACAATTCTTCACCACCCACCGACCGATGCCAGGCCCTCCTTCCCAACGCAGACTGGCCCCTTCCAGTCAACTCCCCCCAGTTTATACACTGGGCATGATGTCCCCCTGTAATCCAGGAGGAGACAGCAACCTGCTGAGCCACTTGGATCCTCACAAGTCTATGGGACTAGATGGGATCCACCAAGGCTGATGAGGGAGCTGGTGGAAGAGCTTGCCAAGCCACTCTCCATCATTTACCAACAGTCCTGGCTCACTGGGGAGGTCCCAAATGATTGAAAGTCGGTGAATGTCATGCCAATCCACAAAAAGGGCCGGAAGAAGGACCCGGGAAACTACAGACCTGTCAGCCTGACCTGAGTGCCTGGCAAGGTTATGGAACAAATTAACTGAAGTGCAATCACACACTTTTGCACAAGTGTGCAAAAGGATGGACAAGAGATCAGATCCAGCCAGGGAGGGTTTAGGAAGGGCAGATCCTGTCTGACCAACCTGATCTCCTTTTGTGATCAGGTGACCCGCCTGGTGGATGAGGGGAGGGCTGTGGATGTGTCTGTCTGGACTTCAGCAAAGCCTTTGATGCCATCTCCCACAGCACACTCCTGGAAAAGCTGGCAGTCCATGGCTTGGACAGGGGCACTCTGTGCTGGGTTAAGAACTGGCTGATGATCAGACCCAGAGAGTGCTGGTGAACGGGGCTGCATCCAGCTGGTGGCCGGTCACCAGTGGTGTCCCCCAGGGATCAGTGCTGGGCCCAGTCCTGTTTAACATCTTTATCGATGATTTAGATGAGGGGATTGAGTCCACCATTAGCAATTTGCAGATGACAACAAGTTGGGAGGGAGTGTTGATCTGCTGGAAGACAGGAGGGCTCTGCAGAGGAACCTGGACAGACTGGAGAGATGGTCTGATTCCAATGGGATGAAGTTCAACAAGGCCAAGTGCCGGGTCCTGCACTTTGGCCACAACAACCCCTGCAGCGCTACAGGCTGGGCACAGACAGAGTGGCTGGAGAGCAGCCAGGCAGAAAGGGATCTGGGGGTGCTGACTGACAGGAGGATGAACATGAGCCAGCAGTGTGCCCAGGTGGCCAAGAAGGCCAATGGCATCCTGGGCTGGATCAGGAACAGTGTGACCAGCAGGACCAGGGCAGTGATTCTTCCCCTATATTCAGTGCTGGTGAGGCCACCCCTGGAGTGCTGTGTCCAGTTCTGGGCCCCTCAGTTCAGGAAGGATATTGAGGTGCTGGAGTAGGTCCAGAGAAGAGCAACAAGGCTGGTGAAGGAACTTGAGCACAAGTGCTATGAGGAGAGGCTGAAGGAGTTGAGGCTGTTTAGCCCAGAGAAGAGGAAGTTCAGGGCAGACCTCATCATTCTCTACAACTCTCTGAAAGGAGGTTGCAACCAGGTGAATGTTGATCTCTTTCTCCAGGCAACCAGCATTAGGACAAGACGACATGATCTTAAACTGTGTCAGAGGAGGTTTAGGTTGGATATTAGGAAGAAATTTTTTATGGAGAGAGTAGTCAGACACTGCAATGGGCTGCCCAAGGAGGTGATGGGTTCACCGTCCCTAGAGGTTTTTAAGATGAAACTGGATGTGACACTTAGTGCCATGGTCTAGTAACCACAGTTGTGTTGGATCGAGGATTGGACTTGATGATCTAGGAGGTCTTTTCCAACCTGGTTGATTCTATGATTCTGTGGTGTGGAATATCCCTTTGGTCAGTTCAGATCACCTGTCCCAGCGATGTTCCCTCCCAGTTTCTTTTGCAAACCTCCTCTCTGGCAGAGCATATGACATGGAAAAAAAATCCATTGGCTAAGCACAACTTAGCAAAAAACCTCAGTGTGTTATCAACACCATTCTCATTAAGAGTTAAGGTTTAGCATTCAACGTGCTTCAATGTAAAGACCTAGTGGGGGGCGTGGGGGGTAACAAAGCCCGGGTAGAAGGAAGAATTGCTGAAAAATATGGGCTGTGTAAAATTTTCTTAAGAAAGCATGTTCTTTACTGTTTTATCTTTGTGTACTTTCAAGTCTAATAACAAGAAAGGAGATTTAATCCCTGAAACAGCAGCTAACAAGCAAGCTCTAAGTCATTTCCAAGTGTTACATAAACAAATTACTTGTTGGTAGAATTACCTTATTAAGGATTAGAGCTTGAGATGCTTCAGTGACCTTAGGCCTAGGGAAAGGTTAACAAGGCTTGGGAAAAAGAATGTACCACTGGTAGTGGATACAAGAAACGCATAATTTACAGGCCACAAGGACATTGGACAAAACTCCCAAGATAAGGAAGAAACTAGTAAAGCCAGCTCAGCAATTGTGCTAAAACCAGCCCCAACTGGGTACAAGGTGATTCCGTCAGGAGCAGATCACGACTGACTCATGGCTACCAACCCAAGAAACCCACGGGCTCCAAGGAAGAGAAAGACTGAGCAAGCACACTAATTAGCATGAGAAGCCAGAGAACCATTAACCAGTAGAAGATAGAATACTCTTATTAATAAGAGAACTAGGTAACTTGTAGCCGAGGAACATTAATGCTTTGTTTGCTAAAGTGTATCAATAGGGAAAAGTATCAATTGGCAGTTGTGGTGCTGTCATTGTGAATTTGCCACCCAGCGCCCCTTTCTGTGCAGAACTGTGAAGAAATCAAATACCTTGACTGTGTGTCAAGGATTAGCCTGTTGCACATTGGGTGCAAGAATCTATTTTGGGACAACAGAACAGGCTTCTTTACAGTGGCTATATAAAGTTTTACACAGGGCTGCAGCTTTCAGAGTCCTGTGGATTTGCTGTTCACATGAAGCGTGTTCTGAAAATGCTAGTGTGGTGGGTAGGAGGAGTGAAGGCTTTCCTGGGTCAGCATTCCCAGATGACTGTAAAAAGATAAAACTCCTGTAAGGGCAGAAAGATAAATGGGTCAAGAAGTAGGTGATTAGAGTGAGGGAACAACAGATCTTTGTGCGATAATACGTTGATCATTTTGGGCAATCCTGGCTCCCAAACTGAATGTTTTGAATATAGTTGTGTTCTCAATTCAGAACGTTACACCAGGCCTTTTGAACTGTCCCTAGCTTTGCAAAATACAACTCTTGATCGTTGAAAATGAGTCTCTGAACAAAGATCATGCTTTTAAGGACATATTAAACAAAAGAATGAAGATGTTTTATGTGCAGTGCTTCAAATTTTACAATACACGATCAAAAAAGTAGTTTTGAGTTGAAAGCATAGTGACATTAGAGGAACGTACTTCACCATCTTCCTTCAGACTCCTGTCTTTCTCTGAGTGAAAAAGTGTATGTTTGACCAGTTCCTGGCTGCTTTCTCCATTCCTCCCTACCCTGTTGCTCTCCTTAAAGACCAGGGTTTTCTTGCCTTTGAGTATGACTTTCCTTCCCCATGGGCTGACAGACAGTTTAAAACACTGATGTAAATTGGTTCAGTTTTTAAAGGAATTTTTTTTTTTTTTCTAGGAGGGAATGATAAGGTTTTATTGAAAAATGCTGACTTTTTAAATAAAACCTGGTTTGTAGAAATGCTTCATGTTTCCATGGGCTGGATGGATTTTAACAGAAGTTTGCCTGGTCTCTTGAAAGTTGCTCTGGCTGCTCATACAGCAAGTTTCTTAAGCTTAGGAGGTCTTTAAGCCTTCTGTAAAGCCCGTGGATACTCTTTATTCTCATATTCAATACTAATTTTATGACTTGAGGCAGCTGAGTGCCTTCAGGGCTTTTAAACTGGTTCTTGCGCACAGTAAGACAGTTGCATATATTCTGGACTTCCCACCTTTGCAGAGCATAGTGTCAGTGAAGCACATGAGATAACTGATGTTCAGCTAATACTGTGTATGATTCCTGTGCTATGCTCCTTCACTAGGTACAGCAATGCCTGCAGTGCTACTCTAACCTTAACCCTAATTTGTGCCTATTGGAGAAAAGTGATGTGAAGAGGTGAATGTGAAATGTTGCCAACAATGCCATAGCTGAGCTTTTGCTGCTCCGTCCTGCTGATCTCTGTGGCACTTCTCTGCAGCAATAACTCCTGAGCCACTCCCAAAATTACACTGTGTCATGCCTTAGATAAGCAGTGTTGCTGTAGAGGAACATCTGTTCCTCTTCTTACACCATACCTTGTGCTGGGGCATTTTGATTATCATGATGTGTGAGATACACAAACACTGTTGAAAGCCCAGAATACCTCTGTCTCCCACCTGGAAAGTAAGTAGATACAACATTTTTTTCTGCATTCACCTCTGAAGAGGAGTGATTGTCTTAGAATGCCTGCCATTTCATGCTAGAAATACTGTTGTTTGAAGAAGTGTGAGACTAACTATTGGCACTTAATTTTAGTTAACCCATGCCTAGTAGTGGGTTTGATCGCTGAAGGTGCTCCTCTG